AAGTAATAAACAGAGAATTAGCACTTTTGAAACAGGGCTGAAACAGAGGGGATTATGGGTAATGCTGCAATGATCTGTTTGGTATTTGGAGCCAAACACTTCAGAGACATGTTCTGTATATATCTGAGACCTGTAATATATTGATGAAAAACAGTATAATAGGTAGGGATGTCCCGATCACCTTTTTTTGCTCCCGATCCGATTCCGATCATTTGATTTTGACAATTTGCCGATACCGATTTTTCCCGATCTGATCTTTATTCAATGAGAAAAAAAAGAAAAAAAGCATTCAAGTTGTCCCTTAAGTTTATTTTTTTATTTAAATTGGATATTCTATCCAACATGGATATAGCTTCTTTCTTTCACAGCAGCATTGGATCAGTTCAGTTGTGCAGCATTGGATCAAAACTAAATAAAGCTTATCAGTACTCGTTAGCTTACTGCTACTATTAGACACTGCGCCCTGCCCACTCTGTTGCCAGATTTGAGAGAAATAAGCAACCAGGTCTATGAAAACAAGCCCCAAAGAAGCAACACACACATGATGTAGTGTCATTTGAAACCAAAACTAAGGCCTCAGGATGACTTTAAGACTTGAACATGGTCATTTTTGTTTTGTAACATTGAATAAAAATTTAAAAAAAGTATTTATTTAAAAAAAAAAAAAATCCCGATCCCCGATTTTTTTCTCCCGATTCCGATCTTTTGAAAATCACGTGATCGGCTCCGATACCCGATCACGTGAACGGATCGGGACATCTCTAATATATATTAGCTATAATTAAGATGACAAATCCTCCTTTATGTAGCCTAAAGCCGCCATGTCCCCACAACGAAGCTGGGGATCCATTACTTGATAATGTACAATTGATGGGGGTCATGTCAATGTATCATACACTGAGTCAATTATTGTGACAGGCCTTTTTACAGGCCATGATATATCAAGGTATCGCAGAATAATTCGATAAAGTCACGAGGCTGTAATGCATCACTGTAATGCAAACACAGGAGGACATCTTCTCTGTTGAGTTATTCTAGGTCTGCAGTCCAGATTCCACAGAGGATATAAAGAACAAGGTACTAGCTCCGATCATAAAAACCACAGAGCATCTATAAAACTCCAGAGGGCTTATATGAGCCTGTGAACAAGTAAGTGTGTGTGTGTGTGTGTGTGTGTGTGTGTGTGTGTGTGTGTGTGTGTGTGTGTGTGTGTGTGTGTGTGTGTGTGTGTGTGTTATAAACAGTGCAGGTGGAGAGGAAGTGCTGTTAAGTGCTCAGTATTCAAATAACTTTTTGAGAAAACACACACACGCATAGACCCATATTTCAGAAGTGATGTTACTTTGGCTGAGTCTGCACATTTCCACTGTGACTCAATAAAGAGGTCACACACGCAGCATAAAAGCAACATCTAATAAAGCTTCTGAAGAACATTGGCTATGCATGTGTTGATTAGCTCAAAGCAGCACTTCCGGTATTTTAGTCGTGGTAATTAAAAAGGACGACTGCAAAACTATAATTCTGGCGATTACAATTTCCAACAAGGCAACAAGGTATAGAAAGTAAAGGTCTTGTATTTGAGCCAATGAAAACATTTCTTACATAAGGTAAAGAGGTCAGAGACCCTGGGACTTGCTTATATGTATTTTGGTCCTGTAAATGCACTTTCTAGTTGACAACGTTTTCTAATATTTTGCTAGACATATTAAAAGGTGGTTGCTATGTTTATGCCCCAAGTTGAATTGAGGTACAGTATAGAAATTGGCTCCACATTTGTTACAATTTTCAACTGCGTTTGACCCCTGATCTACATTAGACTGTTCCATTAAACGACCTGCTGTAAGAATATCAATCGGCAGACTGTTTATCTGTGTCCATAATTAAGGGGAAATTCTCACCATGTATTCGTGCAGCGCAATCTCTCTCTCCTCCGCTATCTGCCTCCTGCTGTGCTCCGACACCGGGTCCTTACCAACACGAACTTGCCTTTGAAATAACAAATAAACAGAAAAAAACATCAAAGGTTACTTTTTAAAGACACATATGCAACTGGAAAGAAATCTAAAAAGTACATGTGAGGTGCGTCTGAACTTCAATGTAGTTTGCCTTTTCTTTCCAGTTTAGAAAATGTTGAGGGAATAAACAATCTTTTCACAAACACCACATCTAAAACAAGACGTTTTCTGAATCTATTTTTCTCCCTAGAATGTTTCCAGCATAATGCAAAACCAAAAATAGCATCCTCTCCTACATTTGCTATCACTTGTAGACTATGTTAAAGGGGACCTATCATGCAAAATGCACTTTTGTACGTCTTTTCTACATGAATATGTGTCCCCGGTGTTCCAGGGAACTCACCAAGTATCAGAAAACACAACCCTCTCTATTTTCCTCCATACCCAAATCTCTTAAAAAGGGGCTGCAACAGATCTGATACAGACTGATCCACATTTGAACACTTCTATGACGTCACAGAAGTGGCGCTACGGCTATTGGGCCAACTCCACCAATCAGGAGGAGACAGCCACGGACATTGCCGTTGGAAAGCGCTGGAGACGCTGTAGTACATATGCCAGGCCTGTAGATGGTGCTGTTCTCACAGAATCAGCCCATGATGCAAAGACAGTGTTCAATTGAGCGAAATGAGGAATGGCTAAAATGCATGATCTGTTT